AAATCGTGTAAATTCCTCGGAAGTTCGGACTAGCTGGAGAACTCGCATTAATTAGACCAATTAATTGATGCCTTGATCAGGGCCCGGAATAAGGAGAAGTTGCGGACTAGCAAAGTGTCGCCGGAGTTTGGCGGCCTCTTATACGCTATGTCGAAGTGAGACGTTAAGTGCGGCTCGTACGTTTCGCTGGTCTCACAAATTCCCATTAGGCGCGACTCCCGATTCCTCGGACGGTGTTAAACGGCCGGCCGGGTTTTTCGTTGGATCGGCTGGCACGGCGTGTTGAATTCGGCGGATTCCAGCCGTCCGGAGGCACTGGCTCCCGGTCATTGTCACCGTTCTCGTCCGTATTAGTAGCGGCTGGCTTCACGGTCCGGGAGGGGCTTCGTGGAGATTAATTAGGGACGATGTTTTAGCAGCAAAAATGAGCCGGGGCAAGAAGCCGGCACCATCACCAGCCGCCTCGGATTCGCGCTAACTAACCGGCCAACGCCGCTGATCGGCAGAGCGCCTGCTCGTCACTACTGACCGCAAGAACGTGCTACAAATTAAGCCCAGATCGGCAGAAACCATCTCGAAAATTCGGCCTCCTTCCTCTCTTCCTCCTATGCTTCCCTTTCCGCTGGACCGTTGTAAAGAGTCACTGCGTACGTCTAAGGAATTCCGCGGACCAGATCGAATCACGCGATTCGATCCTTTAATTACACCTCATCGATCGTTTATACGTTGGGAAAAATGTCCTCGCCAGCCTCATGGTTGTTTCGATGCATGGACAAGTATGGAGTTGGAAATTTCTGTTCATTTCTGTTAAGACGATGGTTAGAATGATCTGAGTGAAGCCGAATCCTTTCTGGAGAATACGGCTGGCTCGGGCCTGATGTTGATGACGTTTACTACTTTGTTTAATAGCGTCGCTCGAGCTATCGAATACTATTTTTACATCGTATCATTCTATGTAATTATTAATATTTATTTCCTATGAAAAGTTGGAGGTACGTATTCTTCGTCTTTGCTACCAGAAACACAGAAAAATTTCAGGGTAATTATCTTCTAAATCAACAATTTCGAATTCTTCGTCATTTTATTACACTATCAAAGAGTTAACAGAATCTATCCGACTATAAAACTATCGATTACAAATATTTTACGGCAAGAACAATTTCCTAGCTTCGAAGACCAAAGAAAAATATTATATCTAAATACTAGAGACTCCTAGACACTTGCTGCAAAATTGCTTGCTACGATTTTATGAGCGCGAGTACTTCCCACATGGAAGCTTTAAAAATCTTCGTAAATTTGAAAATCTCGATTCGTGGTGGAAAATATAGTCGACGAGGACGTTCGTGGGTGCCAGAAGCGACTCGATACTCGAGGAAGACGGGAGAAGGCGAATTCCAGGGATCGACCTCGTTCAACGATTTCAACGACGATTTCGAAACGGTCGGTCGAAGAAGACCCGTGAATATGTCGGCGACCATCGCGGCGCTCAGGCGGGGTCTGTCTTTTGGCAACGTTGGAACGATTATCGTCGAATTTATCGCGCTCGTTCCGTGTCATCGTGTCATTCATCGCGGAGACTATTCGGATCCGCGCGCCGTTTTATAGACGCGCTGCCAATTTTCACCCCCGACTTGTCACCATAATTTTTACCTATATTTAAGACGTTGATCTCTCTCCGTGTTGTACACCTTTTACACTCCAGCTCGTTCGGTCGTTTCTAGACAACACGAATTATCGCGCCAATTTATTCTAGCGATAACGTGCTATCTTAACGTTTTTGTTCTTTTACTGGCTTTAATTAACCGTTGGTTCGTGGCGTGGTATAATTAACGCTGGAAACAGTCGATATTTTTGTTAAATTACTTCTGCGAATTTTACTTTCGCGCTTATCACGTATAGGTAGATTAAATTTAACATAAATTTACCATTAGTGTATTGATACAAGATAAATAAATATACGAGTTAAATGTTTCGAAGGACACAAATAACATAACATACATCATAACGTACATTTCTATTCAGCTAAAATATTTATTCACGAAAACGGACCACAATGAAATTAAATTTTGTTTAAACTAACGCTGCTTGCATGTAAGGAATTGCAGTTAATAGTAGGTTTTTGGTAATCGAGATTACTTTTATGCTGCAGTATCACTCGCAACTCTGTCACAATCTTTGTCTTACTTTAACGCGTTTCCAATACGCTCAAATTCAATTCATACCGTAACACATCCTCCGACTTCATCAGTTTAAAATTTTAATCAGAATTTTCTCTATTATGATCACTCCGGAAAATCTATAAAATATTTCTTCTGATAAATTGAAATCTAGCAAATCGTCGTACAACATTGAGAACATATGTCACGCGTTGTATAAACTACATCTTTATACCAGCCATACCAGTATAACTATAAATCATTAGATCTAATTACCTGGTGAGTGTAACGAGTAAAATATTGTTTTGAATTTACTTGACACCTCGCACACGGTTAGCAATCGTATTTCACGAACATTGTCGCGATTTTTTCGTCGCGTTATGCGAATCCGCGTTACAAAGAGCTATACACGAATCCATTCTACAATACCTATCGTGGTTGATCGTGGTTATCCCTTGAGTAGCTTCGTGGCATCAGCAGGAAGCGGTTGCCGGCGCCTTTATCGATCGATTCGCCGTGTCGATCGGCAGCCGAGGTGCTAATGGGTTAGTCAGCTCGAACACGACTCGAGGTACGGCTACGGCCGCGAAAAATTCGCCGCTCTTTCTCTCGCTCCTCCGAACGCGGCTGCAACATATGTAAATGGCGCGCGGGAGAGCAGCGCAACGACGGCGGCAG